TTCACTGTGGCAATTAAACTTTTAAAAATGGCAGTAGGATACCAACTTCATCACTACATTTACCAATTGTTGAAACACTCCTACTCCAGCAGAGTCCCTAAAGTTCTTTCGCGCAGCTCACACTTCTGTCTAGAGAAAAATGAGCCAAATGCATTTAGAAGTCCAAAAGTGGATTCTGGCATTCCAATTAGTGGGTATTTTACAATTAATGTTTTGAGTGGGATCCAGTGCTGCCTGAGAAAGCCCCCAGGATTTTGATCAATTTCATGCTGCCTTCATGTATCAGCAAAAGGTAAAGCCTGCACTGAGAGTTCAATTTTTCACAGATATTTTGTCTCTTGCTTTTTGCATCAATAAACAGGCTTTCTAACTACTCAGGCTGCTACAATGAGAAGTCTACATCTAGTTTTGACAATAATGCCCTAAGTCCCAATTTAGTGAGTAGTTATCTATGAGATTGTGTCTTCCGCAAAGTTCTCCCAGTAACAACAGTTTGAAAGGAGGAGTGAGAGAGCGTGAAGTGGGGTTATTTATTTAACATTTGTTTAGGTTAATTCAGTTCTATGACATTGTATAGATGTTACCACTTCTCTTGAACTTAAATGAGTCTTTCATCTGAGCTAGCAAGTTCCATCCTCTACTTGGGCTATTTGATCTTTTAGCTACTGTTGATGGGGACTGAACCTGTGAACTGCTATGCACAAGGCAGACGCTCTGCTCCAAGTGAAGATCTTCAACTGAATGAAGTCTAGCTTGATTTTTCAGTCAAATGTCAGTTTAAACGAGTGTTTTAGAACAAATCCTATCTAAATGAGTTGGGGCTTTGGATATCCCATTTTTTATTCTATCTTGAATTATCAATCTTTTACTAATTGGTATCAGTCAAATTGACTGGGTTTTTAGTCTTAAAATTTCATTACAGGCATGACTGGATTATAACTATCCACTTTTAAATTCAACTAATTTTACTGTTGGAACACAAAAAAATTATTTCACACTGCATAACTATGGTCAACCAATATAAAGTTCCCCAGCCCCATAATGCCTGACTTTTTCATTCTTGGTCTTTTATTTAAACTTTACTTTTAACCATTCTGTGTCATCTTCTTTATCCTTTTACCATTTTGTAAGCTGCTTAGAGCCACTACAATGGTGAGATGGGCAGCACGTAAATTTAATAAATAAAATACCGTAAAAATAATTTATTTGTTTAAACTAGCAACGGTCAAACTTTCTGCTAAGAGTCATGTTCCTTCAGAAGAACTATCATAGGTAAAAGGCCATTCTGACTTCTTTTTCCTGGCAATCTTTTTCTCCTTCTCTTTTCTGACCCATGCCAGGGAAAAGAAAGGCCATGTTTGACAAGATCCTAAATCTATTTCTTTGAAAACCCTCTGAAATTAGACTAAGGGCTATATGTGATCTGACGGCAATAGATTGCTTATCCCACATTAAACATGGCTAGTATCAAGGGCACAAGCTAAACTCCCCCCCTCCGATCAAATGTGATTTTTTTATGAGATGGAGATGGTTAGTCAAACCAAAGAGTCAAGATGTTATCGTTTATAGTTTGATTTAAATTCAAATTAATTTTATTTGTCTGTTTTTAAAGTTACCACCTTTCAGCAATTTGCAAGGAAAAAATCAATAATAAATTGCAAAAATAAAAAGCAATGGTATCGTGGGTTAAAACTGAGCACACAAGCCATTCAATGGCATTGTCTTAGCTAATTAAAAAAGCCCACTGGAAGAACTCCACTTTAACTTGCTTCTGAAGATCTAACAAGATCAAAGCAAACATAATCTCTGGTGGCAAACTATTGTACACCAACATTACACAGAAGTAGTTCCTCTTAAACTCAGTGTTTATAATATCTTGGTAACAGGGGATTACCATCCGTTCTTCCTGAATTTATTTGTATCAGATACAGTAGTTGATTCTGGTTTAACGAAGCATTCCTCTAGGTACCTCAGCACTAATCTATAATGGGTTTTATAGGTTAAAACAGGTGTCTCCAATCTTGGCAACTTTAAGCATGGTGGACTTCAACTCCCAGAATTCCCCAGTGAGCTGGGTGGGGAATTCTGGGAGTTAAAGTCCTCCAGGCTTAAAGTTGCCAAGATTGGAGACCCCTGAGTTAAAAGCATCTGTTTAAATTGCATCCATAAACTTATTAGCAGCCAATGAATAGCTCACCACAGAGAATTAATATGCTAATGGCATCTAGAGCTAATTAGCATACAAGATGCTGCATTGTATGCCAACTATAATTTCTGAATGGTCTTCTAAGGCACCCTTCTCCCCACATTGTTCCTGCCTTCCTAAGCAAAACCTTATAAGGCACCAAAGAAAACAAGAGATATTCTCGTCTCCCAGTCAGCATACACAGGAAATGTCCGTGGTGTTATCTTATTATGAATCATTTACTTTAAAAAAAAAACACCCTTGTGTATTGATTTACAATGCTTGGGTAAACACAAAACACCTTGCTGGCTTTTCTCTCTCTCTCTCCCAAAATAGTAATTTGCACAGCTCCAAGGTAGTTATAACTTCCCTGAATGTTATATTAAAACTGCCATTTCGAGAGTTGAAATGAAGAGCCATGTCAGAGCTTAATGATATACAGTATATACTTCCAATTGTGCTTTTAATACATGGAGCGACCAAGCTTCTTCCACCCTAAGTATCACTTACTGAAACTGGTAACTGTTCCCAGGCTCCAGAAAGAAAACCTCGGATCAATCGTAACTGTTCAAATTGCTGAAAGAATAATTACTATGGAAGAATATAAAAATGGACATGAACATATGAATGGATTGTTCCTTGTGGACACTGCTGGCTTTAAAGAATGTTTATACGGCCCTCGTTCTGGCAGCCAGCAGTAGCTGTATAGCATCTTAATTTTCAAAGCTCCATTCCTTAAGTAAGAAACCCAGTACTGCCTTCCTTACCTAACCACAAAGCCAGCAGAGCTTCATAGCTAATTGTCTGTTTATGCCGGGGTCTCCAAACTTGGCAACTTTAAGAACTTGTGGATGTCAACTCCCAGAATTCCTCAGCCAGCAAAGTTTGGAGATCTCTGGTTTATGCCATTCTGCAGTGCAAATTTAATATGGCACTAAGGCTTGTTTTGTGAAAACAAAAGCTGCCTCTTACAAAACCTTGCCTCTGACCTTTGAAAGTCTAACCTGACTTGAAAAGTTTTGAATTAAAAATGATCAATTGTTTACACAGCATGTCAAGAATTAACAGGGAAAATTCAAGAGAGGCCCTTTTATCAGGCTTCAAATGTTCTGTAGGAGACCATCATCAGGAGCAAGAATACACAATGGCATCATCTGGAAGGTTCACAACCTTGGTGCCACTGCCAAAATGGCCTTGTTCCCAGTCACAACCCCAGAGAAAATTAAAGATCTTGAAGAAAGGATCCTGACAACCCTGACCTCAATAGGTAAGGGAGCCCAAACTATACTCAAACCCTGCAATTTCTTGTGAGTCAAGAAGCCATATATTAGTCTGTAGTTATTATGATCATCCTTTTAAAAAAATTTTTATCATTCATCTGCTTGTGACATAAACTGAAAGTCAATTGTGTTGGTAAAGTTGGGAATGGCTGTGCAATATTATGTACCGTATTTCCTAAACCATCTTGTAAAGCTTGGAAAACTGCATGCTAGGCAGATACAGTTCCTAAATATTTTTCAAAGCATGAATGGTTGTGGTTTGAAGACATTTTCCTCTCCAGAAAAAAAA